AACTTGCCACATAAGAGATTAGGCAAAGTCTTCATGGTGTTTAAATTGTTTCTCGAGATTCCTCTTTGGGCCATGTATGAATAATTCATTTGACTGAAGTCTCCAACAGTCACAGGTTTTACTGTCTGCCTACTGCCGTCCACACTTCTTTCTTGGGGAATGGCCCTTGAGTCATCCGTGGGAACGTCTTGGTTCATCCTATTCCAGTCACGTCGGATGGGATCAGGCTGGGCCAAATTCTCTTCCCTAAAAATTTGGTACTGGGACTGTCACCTTTGGCTAACCTCTTCAGTAGAAGAGACATAAGCATGGTAGTTATTAAAGGATCCAGAAGAAAGAAAACTGATCGCAGAGACAGACATGAAGCTAGGAAGAAAGTCACAAAGGCACTCTGCCTGGATTACTGGCTATGCTAAAGCCGTCTGTCCAGGGGCTTCATGAGACACTACTGCTCTCTATCTTCATATTTCCTGAATGCTTAGGCCAGTTCAAGTTGATTACTTGCAACTTTAAAAGGTCAAAACTAAGAAAAAGCCAAAGCCAGAAGCATCTGTGGGGTTTTATTGACAACCACTCCCGTACAGTGATCCTGGAGAACACGGCAGAGCCTAAAGACACATTATTGACTCTCCAAAGGCTTCCACCAAGCAAAAGCATCTTTCCACCCAAGGTCAACTACATTAGAAAATGGTGTTTCCTTCAGCTTTCCATCTCCAGAGGGCAAATGCACAGCTGAGTGCAGTTAGCCATTAGCCATCCACGTGTGTTTGCTGAGGACACACGCCCAGGAAATTGAATGAAGAAATCCCCAGGTACCAGGGAGAAGACTGGTCATTCTGCTTCCCACACCTGCCAATTCCCCCACCCCCCCCACCCCAATCCACATCAGCACTCCCTGAAGCAGTGACCCTGAAGTGAGTGGCTGGCAACCTACTTTTAAAAGTGCCAATTTTTAACAGCTGGAAGCAATAACTCTAGTGGGAGGCGAAGATGCTTGGAGGACTGCTTTCTCCTTAACTGTACTCAGAGGTTGAGAGATGGTGGGTGTAGTGGCCAGGGCCACAGAGATCAGTGCCCTGGGGCCACCGTGTAGTGGCAGGTTCCTCAATTCTCCTCCCCAGGCCTCAGTTTTTGCAACTGCAAAATGAGGAGGAAGAACGCGATGGTCTTTAGTATCCCTTTCATCTTCAACTTTCTACAATCTTGGTGAGCTGGAAAGATTTACACAGAACTTCATCTTGATTTTATTACTCGTCGTTCATCTTCTTGCGACCGAGCCAGCGGCAGCCTGTGCCTGCAGGAGTAAGTGGCTCAAGCTTTCTGGGATGATTGAAGAGGTGATGAAAACCCCAAGTACCTCCCTCACGGTTCTGCCACAGCCAGGCCTGAAGATCCCCTGCCCTGAGCAGATCTGGGTTGCAGGCATCGGCTGCACATAGTCTCAAGTTCAAACGACGAGCACCTACATTGACCCCCGTTGTCCCAGTAAGCCTGGACTTACTCTGGATTCCCTAGGAATGACACAGGAATGCTATCCAGTGAAGGTGCATTCACCAGGAAAGGTCTGGGGCACTTGGTACTGCGGTGACCGGCCCAGGGAGTAAGCAGGGCCTGCAGGTAGTCACCAGCTTCAAAAAACTGCAAGGGCTGGGTGTGTTTAAGGAGGTGGGCTGTCACCGCTCAGCACTGTACTGAGCTTCCCCTCACCTGATCCTCCAATCTTTATGGTGCACAGCAGGAAGAGTCTCTGACTGTGCTCCAGGGCTCCATCCCTGCTATGGATTGGCCACGTCCCTCAAATTCATGTAATGGAAGCCTGATCCCCATGCAGTGGTGCTGGGAGATGGGACTGGTGAGAAGTGACTGGGTCCCTGTGAATGCAGTAATATCACGATGGTGGAGTGAGTTCCTTAGGTAGACAGCAGGTGGTTAGGAAAACAAGTCCTCCCCCCTCCCTTCATCTTGCACATGCTCTCTTGTCCTTTCACCTTCTGCCATGTTATGACCCAGCATGAAGACTCTTGAGGTACCGCAGCTGAGCTCTTGGTCCTATCCTCCAGAACCATGAGCTAAATCAACTTCTTTTCTTTATAAGTTACCTACTCCATGGTATTCTGTTATAGCAACAAAAAGCGGACTTAGACACTTGCCAGCACAAGGAAAGCCGACGTTAGGCCCCAAGAAAGGGAAAACTCCTTAGAGGCAACCTCTGCCCAACCTTCTATCATCTAGGCTGTGGGGACAAAACAACTAGGGACAGTTGGCCACCCCGTAGGAAATGGCCCAATACTGTTATGGAGCGTACCTTAGAATCACTGAGCCCTTTCCCTGTGACCCTGAAACCCACTTCCCTTTTTACTTTGTTGTCAAACTAAGAAGCCACAACTTCCTACCCTTGCCAACCCCGCCCCAACCAAAACAAGACTTGGGTGTCAAGTGGCAGTAAGCCCCTCTTTGGCAGCTTCAGCTTTTAACCTAAAGAAATGGAAAAGGGCCAACCATGAAGAGAACTTCCTAGCACTTCTGTGGGGGATTTATTTGTCAACGGGGCAGCTGTAGTAGGTTTAGAAATCAATGAACCACAGGACAGCACCCTGAGGTATTATTCCACCACACCGCCTCTTAAACACCGATTCTCCCTGCACACCACGGGAACACGTGTAGATGTTAGATTTGAGATGGAGCTTCCGACTCTCAGCAGCCTGGGGTTGTCAAATCTTCTCATTTTGGCAGCAGGGAGCAGGGACGACATGACAACTTATGAGTGTATCGAGTTAGGTAGTAGTAAAAATAGCAACTGAAGCAAAAAACATTCTTAATATGCTCTTGAAACCTTTTGAAAAGAAAATATCCGAGGAACCAAGTAGTATCAGATGGGGTTTTTACTTGCTGGGGAGAAACAGAAAAAGAATACATATTCATGTTGGACCCCACATGTCCCATCGATATACCTCTTGGTCATCCATCTCCCTTGTCTCCAGAGTAAAGGCCTTGTAAAATGTCATAGAGACCAACAGTCCCAGTTTTACCGAGGATGTCCTTAACAGTGCAGCAGAAATTTCTTGGTGCTTTGCAAGAGTCCCACTAAACCTCCAAGCTTAACTTCCTTTGTAGAAGTATAAGAATTGGGGGATTTAAAAAATTCTGTTGGAGAGTAATTCTGCAGAGGGACATTATCCTACGGCCTAGAGAAGTACCCTAATGAGATTTAGAGACTTGGGTTAACCAGAGATAATAACTCCTCAAGTACCCACTTCAGAGAGGATATAGGAATTCCAAGACTCTTGCTAATGAAAGGCCTCTGTAACATCCTGAGGGATAAAGGTGTGCTGATTATGTCCATCGTGAAATACAAGTCTGGGAGAATTCTGTGCACCTTCCTACCTACTGATGTAGGACCCAAGAGGCTAGACTGACAAGAGGAGAAACTTAATTATGGAAAGGGTCTTTTGGGGGTGGGGGTACCTGGTCTGCTTCACCACTGCACATCTACCTACCTGCCCTCCGCCGGTTCAATCTGTGTAAAAGCTGAACCATGTTGCCTTCGGCCTCCCAAATACTAAATTGTATTACAGCATGAGTTAGAAAGTCAGAGGTTTGAATCTCAGTATGGCTGGCCATGGTCAAGTCCCTCAGTCTACCCACATCAATCTGCTCATGTGTAAAATGGGAATAAAGCAGACAACACAGGACTGTTAGAAGGATTGGATGCAACAAGTTGCTCTTTGCCACTTAAACTACTATTTATTGTGGGCCTGCCTCCTGGGAAAACAAGCATTTTGCGCTCTGCATAATCACATCCCCTCGCCACTGAGCTGGCTGGGGTGCTGGATTTAGGCAGAAATACCACCCACTTGTCCTCCCTGGATCTGGGTTGTGCGTGCTACTTATCTTTTACCTTTATTAAAGGTAAAGATACCTGATCTTTACACCCACTCACCACTGAGCACCCAAACGGGAAATTCTGCTCTGAACCAACCACCTTCCATCCACCTGCCCATCAGCGCGAACCTGTTCTCTCACTTCTCCCTCTCAGTCCTTTTTGCGCCCTCGTTTCTCCGATCCAAAATAAAACGCATTGCTGCCCTTTCTATCTGTGCTAAATTTCAAGAGCAGAAGAGTCCTCCAAATGAGACGAGCCAAGGGTGCTGCCGGCAGAGTTCGGGGCTGGAGTTTCAGGTCCCCCTCCGAAGCACGCAGACGGGAAGGGGAGCCAGAGCTGGAGCCTCCGCAGGGAAGAGGGGCGCAGCCTCGCCAGGATGGGAAGTGCCCGCCGGGGGAGCCTTGGGCTAACTTTTCGGTCGGAATTCTGGACCAAGAGCCTCGCAACCCCAATCCACCCAATTCTATGTACTCAGGAACTAGGGAGCTGCCTGCAACCCGGAGGGCAGGAGGAGGGAGGGAAGGCCGGGGAGAGCGGGGTGGGACGGGAAGGTAGGGAACCGGGTGGTCAGAGGGAGGGAGGTGGAAAGAAGTGGGGGAAGAAGAGGGGAAGAAGTGAAGTGGGGTAGGAAATAGGAAGAAGTGAAGTGGGGGGAGGAGGAGGGAAGAAGTGAAGTGGAGGGGGAGGTGGGAAGTAGGGGTGGGGGTGGGGAAGTAGGGATAGAGGAGGCGGGAAGGAGGGAAGGGAGGAGGCGGGAGGTAGCGGCGGGGGATGGAGGAGGAGGGGGATGGGAGGAGGTGGGGAGGGGAGTGGGAAGGTAGGAGGTGGGGCGTTGGGGGAGGGGTGGAGCGAGCTGGGCTCGGCGCCCTTAGCGCGGGTGGGCGTCGCAGCGAGTCCTCCACTCTGGAGCCCAGGAGAGGCGGGCGGGTGCGGAGCGGAGCGCCGTGCTGCAGGGAGGCGTCCTTGGGTTTCGCGGCGCTCTCCTGAAACAGCTGAATAAATAAATAACCGGTGCGGCCACCCCGCCCCCCGCGGTGGCGGTGACGGTGGCGGCGGCGGCCGTGGCGCTCGGAAAGCCCGGCTCGGGGCCGCCTCCCCGCGACGCGGGCCGCCGCGCAGCTCCGGGAACTGGGCTCCGTCCGACTTCCGGGAGAGGGGAGGCTTCTCTTCTGCAAAGTCCTGCAGCCCTCCGGGGCTCTTCGGTTTTTACAGTGGAAAACTACGATTTTAAAACATAGACGTGAAAATAAATGAGATTAGGACCTGCCGGCTTCACTTCCTGGAGGCTTGTTTGTTGTGTCTTGAAACTGGGAACCTTTGCGGGCCGCCCTTGTAAGTGCCTTTTACTCGGTTCACACCAGTGCTTGTGCGTCTCTGCTGCGTGTAGCATCGGTCAGTTGGCAACATCGCATTAATTTTTGTCTGATGGTGATTTCTGCTTTGGTCGGTTAACACTACCTCTCTCGATGACATAAAATAAATGCAAAAAAATAGAGAGAGAGGCATGAAGGGAGAGAGATCTTTTTAACCCTGCTATAAAATAGTTAAAATGCCTCCTAACGCGATACCAATATCGAAGAGTGGAGTATTATTCAGACTGTAGAGATATTTTTAAAAAATACTAGCTCAGTAGCCATTCGACCGTAGAGCAACATGATAAAATTGTTAATAGCAATGACAAAATCCCTATGGCTTATTCTAAATTTATTTTAGAATGTCTATAAGTATGTCGAAGATAGTAAATCACGTATGTGATGTGTTTAATCTCTGAGCATGTGAGAGAGAAGCATACAAGTAGACACAATCTCTGATCTGAAGTTCAACCTAGAAAATCCCCAAATACAATTATAAAGCAGATGCCCCTTAGGGTGTCTGGTAAAAATGAAAGTTTCTTTCGCAGAGAGTTTACTTCATTTTCTTTCAAAATAAACTTAAAGGCCAAGGAATTATTCCAAAACCAGAATGAGGCAACCCTACGGTGGTAAGATAAATTAATAGAAACAATTCAACTCAACAAAAATTGGCCTTCAGGCTACATCTGAGGAGCCATATAAAACTTTAAAATGATGCAATGCATGTTTAGTAGTGACAGGGAGGTACCTTTATCTAAACAGGTTGCACAGACCGACTGAGGGCAACCATTTCCACTACACTATTTCTCAGTTTCCTTATGTAACTAAGGCTCTGGAATTTGAATATTCTGAATCAGAGGTTGCTTGCTGGAGCTCCTTGGGCCTGAAATTTTCGATCAGACCTGTATGGGCTCTGGGTATATTTTAAACTTCTGCATTAGTTATGGATATTTCAACACTGAAATGTTTCATATGGAAAGCTGGACTTTGGTTTTCCCTTTGAAATAGAAAAAGATCTGGTCACTCTGGGTGGGAGCCATGGCTGGATCACAGAAGCAGTGTTAGATGTGGAGGCAGCCAACTGCACTTTCCCTGCTGTCCCCTAACCCCTTGGCCCTTACCCTGTTAAGATTCTCCCCCAGGCTTGTGAGCTTTCAAGTTCTGGTCCAGATAGCCCTTCACCAATGCTCAGCCTCTCTACTAGGATACTGAAGTCATAGATGACTTATTCACACTAGGGTCTAGACCTAATTAATGCACATATGTTACCTTAAATCCTTGATCAAATCTTGACTTCTAGAAGTTCATTTAGGCAGATTCAACTGATCAGAAGCTATTTCCTGAAGATCCGTACCACTACACAACATCCTGGTTCCCTCCTCCTGGTGAGGCTTAGGAGGATGGGTGTTCTCTGGAATTAAACTCAGCACTGGTCCTGGACTGGCCATGGTCATTCAAGTGATTGAAGTGGAAAATGAGGAAGGATGGCCCAGGTGATTCCCTGGCCGGTCCTGGCCAGCATGCTGCTCCTGCAATTCCATCTGATGCCTTCCTTGGATCCCAAATGCCTACTCACCAGTTGAGAAACATTTATTGAGCACCTACTAAAAGTACCCTGAAGTGAACAATGGCTTTCAGGAAGGTGAAGTGGTTCCTGAACCTAGGAAGCTCAGGAAACGGAATTGCAAGCCCAGGGCTTGGCATTTGGGTTCTAGATGCCTTTTTCACCACCCATCATCGGACACCATCCCTGTCATCTTCACAAAGATTCCACCAGGGCCCCCTCTCCTGCCGCCCAGCAGTTTGCCCTCTGTGTCATGGCGGAGTTTTGAATTTAACAGTCACTTCTGCATTTCGTGTGGACGCTTCGCGTAGTACCCTAGCTTAGGTGCTCCTTAGATAATCCTGGAGTTTAATTTCCTTGTTATGCACCCATCCTCTGAAACTCAGCTTCTGTTTGTTCACGCATTGAATAGGGTGCAGCATCTTCTAGAAACCAGACACTGTTCCAGAAGCTATGGATACAGCAGTGGACAAAACAAATCCCCACCCACATGGATCTGCTGGTTGGGGATGGCAGAGCCACCAAATAAACTCTTTGGAATTCTTATCTGTTCAGTTGTTACCTGTATCCTGACATCTGCGGCAACCTTGTTTGCTGTGACTCCTTCTCCATTTCTTTCAGGATGGACCTGTTTCCTAGCTCCAGTCTTCACAGCCTTTACTTGGATGGTGATTTTATCTGTAGCCAGAGAGCTTGCTGTTTGTCCTGTTGCATTTCAGGTTTTGAAGGGTTTTTGTTTTTTTTTTCTTTTACAGTGCTGGGCAGGCCCAGGGCCTGGCACATGGAACATGAGTGCTGTACCACTGAGTACCCCCAGGCGTCTGTTGTGTTTTGAATCAGAGCATCCCCGTCTCTTAACCAACATCAAGCATTCATTTACAAAAACCAGGAGCTTCCATAATAAGCTAACTTTTAAAAAGGCAACTTGTATATTCTGTACATACCGAATCTTGTCCGAGAAGGTTTGTTGAAGCCACATGACCCAGCCTTACTGTTTATTTTGTTGTTATAATATTGCCTTTCTTTTGAAGTTTCCTAGCTATTATGCCAAACATAAAAATAACTGACTGCTTTACATTCATATTCCATAACTTATTTTGAGCAGTACTATGAATAATGTATTAGTAAAATGTAATCTTATCTTTAAATATGTGATTTTTTAAAAAATAAATTTTGCTGCATCCTTATTGAACCCTTTGGATTTTTCTGGATCCAATACTTGTTCTAGAGAAATGAAAAAAAAAGAGGGGGTTTTAGTACATCAAATATTCCATAAAGCGAGTTATTCCTGAAAATTCAGGTAAAGAGATACAATTTTCATTTCTACTATGAAAATGGTCCAAGATGTGTTATGTCTGTTCCTTTGCATTTAAATATTTGATCCCTATCTATTATCATCTTTGGCTTACAGTGGCATGCATTGTGTCATTTCTCAAGTCTACATGACTTCCCATTAGGACTTGAACTGGATTAATAGGAATTCTTTGGGAAAAAAAATTGAAGCACCAAGGATCTCACTTTATGCTGTGCAATGCAAAGCCAGCATTCTAATCTGGACAGAATATCAGTCTTCAGTCAGGCAACAGGTAAGTTTACAAATAGAATTATAATGCATTGGACCATGGATGATCACACTACCAATGGGCAAGCTACTATGCTTAGGACAAGTTCAAACAACTGTGTCAGAACTTAATTTGAGTCTGTACATGTGCAGCCACTGCATGTTATCATTAACAGATGTAATTATCCACCCAACCAGTTGGAGTTTTAGGACCATAAAATCTGGCCACCTTGATAGGATATAGATTCAGAAATGTTACATTCCTTGCCATAGCTTTTTCTCTTTGGTGGGTGGAGAAGAGGTGGGGTAAGGGTGAAAATTTTGAGCCTGAGCCTCTACAGAACCGCAGTCATTGGGTGAAGAGAATTGGGGGGAAATCTGCTTTTGTTAACATATGTTTCCTTCCACTGAATTGACATGTAGAGATGGACATGCCTGGAATGACCAACATAACTTGGGATGTCTTCATTCTAGGCTGAAGGTGGACACAGCAGAAGGGGAGGTGATTTAAGGATCTCTTAGGGCATTGGTAAAAGGGAACAAAACAAATGTAAATTTCACATACTGAAAAAGTAGCTTCACCAAGGAGTTTTTTTGCTAGACTCCTCTGCATCTTTTATCAGGTCTGGGACCAGCCTCAATGCTATCTTTATATCCCAACCAAGCCTCTCCAGTAAGATCTTCAACAAGCAAGCTGGGATTCAGCACTTCCCTGCTTTACTAATTGCCCCTAAGATCTCTCCTATAGTAAATATATGTATAGATTTGTTCACTCTCCTGCTTTTATGAAATTATTTTAAAAATTGAGTTGTTAAAGTTTGTGTTTAGCTGGGTATGGTGGTGCATGACTATCATCCAGAGATTAGGGAGAGTAGGGGAGGAAGATTTCAAGTTCAAGACCAACCTCAGCAACTTAACAAGGCCCTCAGCAACTAAGCAAGATCCTGTCTAAAAATAAAAAATAGAAAGAACTGGTGATGTAGCTTGGTAGTAAAGGACCCCTGGGGTCAATCCCTGGTACCAAAAATTTTAAATTAAAAAAAAAAATTTTTGTTTAGATACATTTACTTTGAACAAGAACTTGAAGGAATCAAAAAGCCCAAGCTTGAGTCAGGGATATGGCTCAGTGGTACAGTACGTGCTTAGCATATGGAAAACCCTGGGTTCAATCCCCAGCATAAAAAAAAAAAAAAAAAAAGCCAAAGCTCATGCTTTTCAATAACCAGAACCAGTATCTGTAACTTTTCGTATCTAAATATATAGAAGTTGGGGAATTAGGGATTTAGCTCAGTAGTAGAATTTTTAAAATTATTTTAAGAAATTTTTTCCTGGGGCTTGAACCCAGGACTTTACACACAGGACTACTACTGAGCTACAACCCTCTTTCTTCTTCTTCTTTTTTTAATGTTTATTTCTTAGTTTTAGGTGGACACAATATCTTCATTTTACATTTATGTGGTGCTGAGGATCGAACCCAGTGCCTTCTGCATGCTAGGCGAGCGCTCTACCACTGAGCCCCAACCTCAGCGCCCCCTCTTTCCTCGTGACTTCTCCTTTTTACTTCCAGTGAGAGTAGCTTTTGTGGTTATCTGGGATAGAGGAAACCCACACATCTCAGTGAGCAGTGATAAGTCCACCACGTTGCCAAGAATTTTAGGGATTTTCTCCTCTAGTCATTGTCATGGCCAATGTCTTCCTGGAAGATATGTTATCATTTCATCAGAATATTAGGTGCTTCAGAGTTAAATGGTCAATTTGTGATTACTAAACTTTCCACTGTCTTGGGATTTAATTTGCCCTACCAAGTGCCAGGAGAAAGCTCTAGAGGACTCCATGCACTAATACGCAGGACATGAATGACACAGGCTGGCTGGGGGCCATGAGTCACACCTCCTGTGCATCTGGGGAATGTGTATGAGTTGCTTTATTTTGGTTTTGGAGGTTGGGGACTGCTGGAGAGGGTAGATTTCTAAACTACCCAAAAGAACACAATCAGAAAACTCACAGAAGGTTCAAGGTAGAGACATCCAGCTGGCTGGAGAGAGGTAGGGATAGCTGAAGACCTAGAACTGCTCAACAAGCAAAGGAGAAAGTGAGACCAAAGAGAATCTGTGTGCGCTGGCAGCAGTAGAAGAACCTCAGGACCTTCCAGCCAACATTTAAGATTATTTTATTGGTTCAGAGAAAATATGAATTTAACATAGCTGAACATAGAGAGGGAAGGCTTTTAGTTTCCAACCAATAGTTGCTATGAATTGATGAACAATAGAAATGCCCAGAGGTACAAGAGAGCCAGCTTAAAATTGCCTGCTGTCCTCCCTTCATTATCTAACATTTTTCTACAATACAAACTTCTAGGTAAAAACTGAAAAAGAGCCGGGCACATTTGTGCATGCCTGTAATTCCAGCGGCTCAGGAGGCTGAGACGGGAGATGGTGAGTTCAAAGCCAGCCTCAGCAAAAGCAAGGCGCTAAGCAACTCAGTGAGATCCTGTCTCTAAATAAAGTAGAAAATAGGGCTGGGGATGTGGTTCAGTGGTCGAGTGTCCAGAGGTACCGGAGTTCAATATCCGGTACCTCCCCCCCCCCCCCCCCCCCCCCCAAAAAAACAAAAACACTGAAAAAGACATTTGGAAAGTCACATTTATAAGAAAATTTAGAAATACTAACTGGGCTAGGTGTGGGTCTTGCCCCTCGAGGATGTTTTTCTCCCAGGGACACTGGTTGGGGCAGAGAACTGAGTAGTCAGGAGGATACAGACCTGAAATCAACTCCAGAAGGTTCAGTAGCTTCCAAATAGATTTTTCCATCTCAATAGAAACCAGTTATACATTTACCAGGAGGGAAATTTTCTACAAGCTGTTTCTGAATATATTTTCATTTTCACTTTATGGACTCAGTCCTGAGTGAAAACTAAGTGAGATCCCCCTTTGTCTAGATGTCAATCATTTAGGAACAGCCCCAGAGACTTCCAAAGTGAGTAAATATCTCCTGCTGTTTAAATAGCCAACCTTCCAGCTGATTAAGAAACTGCCCCAGCAGGTATTCTGAGTCACCCTGTGGTTCTGGACACGTTACTTGACCTCTCTGGAGACTTACATGCACTTAATGTTTTTCCTCCCACAGACTCATGACGCTGCCTTAAGGACAGAAAATTCACTAATGTTGAAAAGTCTGGTGCAAATTTTTTAAATGCTGCAGGAAGAATAGGTAAAAACACCAAACTTCTTCTTTTGTAAAATTTAACTGCTGTGCGAAAGACACAGGACATGCAGTCTTCTTGACTCAGGCACACAAATATCTGTCTATCCTTGGAAACCAAAGATGGGGCAACACCATGGGCAATTTTAAGAAAGGAAACGCAGTGTCCTTTTTAAACCTGTGAGGCAAGTCCAGTTCTTTTCTGACGTCTCTGGAAAATGTGGTCCAGAATGTTTTATTGCTGGTGCTGACAGAATGGTTCCTTAGTGTTCGAATCTCAGAAACACGTCTTCTGATGCTGTTTTGCCTTTCTAAAAAGAAGCAGTACTGAGCTTTCTTACAGGAAGTTTTGGTTACTGGCATAATTATAGGTTTCTGGAAGGTTCCTTGGATGTATCTTTGGTCCATTCCCAACTGTTGCTTCTTCAAATATATGCATTTCATGTCCCTGCATGATCTCTACAGTACTGAACATGGGCCTTACAGTACACACACGTACTGAAAAGCCTTTGCCTGCGTGTGGACCATGTGCACAAAATAGCGTCATGATACATGGCTGCCTGAGAGCCATCTTTCCAGCAACGTGTTCCCTGTTTGCATGTCGCATCACTTACTGGATAAAGTTAGTCACAAGCCAGGCTGGGATTGTAATAGGCAGGCAAAGACCATTGGAAGGAAATGGTCTAAAAGCCGAGCATGCAAACTTAAGTGTTCATTTTTTTTTTCTTCTTGGTGGGCACACCATCCAACACACAATCTCACAAAACCCATTTGGAAATAGCATTTGTCACAGCTATGTCCAGGAGAGGTGAAGTGCTACAAGCCACTGGTGGACTGGCCTCAGAAGTGAGCAAAAGAAATAGACTAGTATTCTGGAATGGTATAGAATTCTGAAGAAATAGTGAGGTACAGGGATATACCCCAAGTTACCCACTAAAGCTGAAAGGATACCCCTTAATACATGGGAATATGCTTTGCAGTGGCCACCAGAAAAGGATGAAAAAATTTTCAAAAAGCTGTTAATTTTTTTTTTTTTTTAGATTCACTAAATAACTACCAGACCATCAAGTGTGAGACAACTTTAGAAAACAAAATGCCTATCCCCATATTAAGGTACTATCCTATGGAAAGCTTAGAGAATCAGAAATTTAGTTTGAGCTGGGTGTGGCGGCAGGTGCCTGTAATCCCAGTAGCTTGGGAAGCTGAGGCAATAGGATTGAGAGTTCAAAGCCAGCATCAGCAACTTGGTAAGGCACTTAGCAACTTAGCGAGACCCTGTCTCTAAGTAAAATATAAAAAAGAGGGGTGTGGCTCAGGGGTTAAGGCCCTCTGGATTCAATCCCCCCCCCTTCCAAAAAAAAGGAAGAAAGAAAATTTAGTTTGTTTACTAGGTTAGTCAGCTTTCATTACTGTAACAAAACACATG